TTGAAATTCACCTTTCTTGAAATTCACCTTTCTTGAAATTCACCTTTCTTGAAATTCACCTTTCTTGAAATTCACCTTTCTTGAAATTCACCTTTCTTGAAATTCACCTTTCTTGAAATTCACCTTTCTTGAAATTCACCTTTCTTGAAATTCACCTTTCTTGAAATTCACCTTTCCTAAAAAATCCACATTCCCTTAAGTCCACCTTTCCTAAATAGGAAAAAACAAACCACAAAAACAAAACTGGAGACCTTGAAGCTGCTTTCCCCCCACCCCCCAACTTTCATCTTTAATTTGATCCCAATTTTGATCCTAAAATGAACTTGTTGCAGTCAGATATTTCCCTGGATATGACTCAGTGTCAGCTGGGAACTGTTTTATTCTAACTGAGAGCAGGAAAATCTCTTTTAAACTATATGGGAAGTGGTGTTTAAAATACCTGTTGGATTTCTGGAGCCAAACTGCTGCATGGACCTTAAAAAAAACCCAAAGATTACAACAAGATATTTTCCTTCTGCTAAACTTTTTTGAGACTGAGAGAGACAAACTGTTCCCAGCACTCAAACAAGCAGTTCCTTCAGCGGATTAAAATCGGTATTTAAAGGTGCTGAATGTTCTTTGGGAAAGTGTAAACTCTGGTTTTTATGGGAGACAGCTCGAGGAATCCGTGACAGCGGAATTTTCAGGGACATGAACAGGCTGGGAGAGCTGGGGGGGTTCCCCTGGAGAAGAAAAGGCTCCAGGGAGAGCTGAGAGCCCCTGGCAGGGCCTAAAGGGGCTCCAGGAGAGCTGGAGAGGGACTGGGGACAAGGCATGGAGGGACAGCACACAGGGAATGGCTTCCCACTGGAAAAGTGAAGATTTAAATGGGGTATTGGGAAGGAATTGCTGGCTGGGAGGGTGGGGAGGCCCTGGCCCAGGTTGGGCAGAGAAGCTGTGGCTGCCCCTGGATCCCTGGAAGTGTCCAAGACCAGGCTGGAGCAGCCTGGACTGGTGGAAGGTGTCCCTGCCCGTGGGTTTTGAGCTGCTAAGAATTAAACCTCCAAATTTACCCCCTAAATTAAGTCTCCTGTCACCCCACCTGTATTTCCCGGGTGCCCAATGCCCCCCAGTTGCCTTTCCCAAAATCCTGCCCTCTTCTCCCCCTGTTTTCTTCCACTCCCTGGCTGTATTTTTCCACTCCTTGTGCTTTCTCGCTTCTTCAGGAAGTTCAAGGAGTTGCAGCTCTAAATTTGCACTGCACAACTCCCGTGGATCATATGGCACCCGGCTCATTTTTGGAAGGATGACACATAACAGGCACAACAAAACATGTGAAAAGGCTTGGGGAAGATGAGTTGAGAGCAACTTCTGTGCTCGCTTTGGGCTGTGGGAGTTGCTCCGTGTTACTTCAGGCCGTTGAACCTGCACGTGGTTTTTGGGAAGGGATGTCTTGGGATCATCCCCAGAGCTTGGAAAAACAGCTCTGCTTCCATGTTCTTCCCCATTCTTCCACGAGCCCTTCTTGTCCATCCCGGAAATTCAGGCAGCCAAATCAACTGATTGACCGGTTGGAAAGAGATTAAGGGCACCAAAAAGTGGGATCATGATCCAGCTGGAATAGTTCACGGCTGGAATGGCATCTGGGATGTGGGGAAGGCTGGAAATTCCTCTTGTGAATTTCTTGTTTGGCTGATTTTTGTATTGCCAGATCCCAACTAGCTGATGAGGATAAAACCATCCAGGGAGCTGTGTTGTTAATGGAATGCACTCTTGCTGCTTCCACAGTTGTTCCAATCTCTAGGAAAAATAAATAAAGCCTAAATTTGTTGCTATTTTTTTATTAAAAAATTAGCTTATCTGGCCCATCTCCATACCTGTACATTTATCTCAGGTTTGCCCCTCAATGGAAGTGCTGGAATTTCTAATGACATTTGATAACTGATAAAATTGTGTGATAACTGATAAAGTTGTGCTTAAAATCCTGGAATCTTTGAGGTTGGAAAAGATCTTTAAGGTCATCAAGTCCAACCATCAACCAACACCCCTGTGTTCACCACTAAACCATGTCAACAAGTGCCACATCCACATGGTTTTTTGGACACTTCCAGGGATGGGAACTGCACCACATCCCTGTTCCAGGGCTTGGTCACCTTTTCCATGAAGAAATTTTTCGGAATATCCAATCTTAACCTTCTCTGGTGGAAGTTGAGGCCACTTAAGAGGTTCCCTTTTGCTTTCTGGCATGGAGTGTGCAGGATTTCGGGTGGAATTTTGTGTCAGGGGTGGGAATAAATGTGATAGCTGTTTAATTAGTGCGTGTCCAAGTGAGGGGAAGCTCAGCCCAGGTGGGTCATTCCCTGAATTTGCTCCAGGGCAACACCAGTTGTGGGTTTTGGATCAACACTGACAGTAATGAATTGCTGTCAGTGGTAGCTTCAGGTTTTCCCACACTTATTCCCATTTTTTCTCCTTGTGCTCCGAGAGTAGCAGGATTTCTGTATGTCTGGGGTGTGGTTTTTTTATTCCCTTGTTTGGAGTGGGGTCTTTAATCTGCAGAGATTTGCATTTCTTCTCTTCCAAACTTCTTCCCCTCACAGTGGGCAGGTGAGGGGCTGCAGGGATCCACTGCCAGCACTTGGCAGCTTCTGGTGGAATTAGTAAAAGGCTTGGAAGCAAAAGTGCTGTCCATCCCTCCCTGCTGATCCCTCCGCATGGGTTTCAAAACGTAGGGAAGCTCCACATGTGCTGCAATCCCAAAAAAACCCCTCTGTCCCGGGCTGATCCCCCAGCGTGGAGGGATGATGATAGATTTTTAATTGGTTCCTCCACAAATGAATTCCATCCCTTCCTGATGGCAGACTGCATTATTGACAGCTCTCCTCTCGCTCTGAATTCTCCCATCCAGATTTTGGTG